ACACTCTGTTCTTATTAACTAACCAACTCTACTTTTATCGATAAAATGCTGTTAAAGTGATAGTTCACCCAAAAATGAAATGAATATTCTGTCATCATTTACTCACCATTAATGTATGACTTTCTTTCTTCTGTGGAATGTAAAAGAATATCAATATTTTTAAGAATGTTGATAACCAAAAGGTTTTGATCCCAAATGACTTCCATTGTATGGACCAAAAATACAATGGAAGCAAAACTGGTTATCAACATTCTTCCGAATATCTTCTTTTGTATTCCACTAAAGAAAAAAATGCATAGTTTTGTAACGACATGAGGATGATTAAATCATGACAGAATTTTCATTTTTGCATGCGTTATCCCTTTATTCTTTAGAATTGTTTTTAATTATCATGTGATTTTATTGCTTATTTTAAACTTTGTTTTATTTTTCACTATAAGGTGGAAAGAGACTTCCATGTTCTTCTCATCCTCCTCCCTCCCTCTTTCTCATATAAAGGCCTTGCTTTGCAAAATTTAAGGTCACCTACCTGCACTGAAGATGCGATGGGATATCATTTGCTGAGTCAGCGCTGACAGATTGGGGTCTTTCTGCTGATACATCTGCCAGCGAGATTTACCAAGGTGAAACTGAAGCCAAGGTGGATGTGTCTCAGCACTGGCATTCCAGAGGATAGGATCATATCTGTCCTCGTTAGCACTCAGCCTAAGGATGGGATTCATTCATGTATTTTTGACAGTACAGTAGTCATAATTAAAGTTGCATCAAGCAATTTTCTTTGATTCAACAGCAGATACAGCAGCAATTTTGGACCTTATACTGACACCTAGAGCAAGGATGAAGCATCACATAAAAATTGAATGCTTTCGGTTGTGATTATTTTGATTCAGATTGATTCGTGAACCAGTTAGACGGACTTATTGAAATGATGTCATTCAAAATTCACTCACAAATGAATCCTCACTGACTTGCCAGTAATAATCGTGGAAATTAATGATTCAATATATAAAATATAAATACATTTTTCTATTTATTTATTTATTTACTGAATTTATTATTTACTTTGGATGTTATATCACAAAACCAAACAAATCCAAATGATTTTAATCCAAAAATAAATTGTTATAACAGTCACAACGTCCTCACCACTGCTGTGTATACGAAGCTCTTCCTCTTTTATTTTTGTTCGGACTTTCAGCAGCCAATCACCATCGGACACAGGTGGGGTGGGCAAATTATACAGCGGGTGAGAGTACAGAGCCTCCAGTTTGGCAAGGTCATCTGCTGTGCCGTCTGTTTCCACTTCCTGGGTGACACTTCCTGCAGTGGCCATTTTGCTTGTTGGAGTAGATGTATTTTGAATGGAAAAGATGATGGAGGTCTGAATGCCAGGGTATGAGTGGAGCTCACAGGAAGTGTGGAATATGGACAGGACAAGTGAAACCACGAGCAAGTGCAGACTCAGGAACACAATTAACAGCCACATGCACAATGTCCGTGATCGCCGATGTGTACATACTCGCATTGTACTGAAATGAGATGGCAAAAAGTATAAACTTCAACTCTACAGTCACCTGTTAAAGAATATAGAGCAAAACACACCTGTCTTCCAGTTTAAGGTGTTTCCGTCTCCGTCTGTCTGGACTAAAAGGAAGCTCAGATTGTCCTTTAGATCTTTATTCCCCTGTTTACACTCTTACACTCCCCTTTTCTCTCAAACATTACTGAGGAGAGGTGCCAGGTTAGGCTAATCTGAATGAACATGTTTACTCTTGTTGTAGTGTATTCTCTGCACAGAAGAACCTGTATTAACCAAAAGTAGAGAGTGGGGTAAACTGTGCTACTTCTTTAACTAAGTTGTTCTGTAGCTTCCCGTGACCAAGCACATATTTCTTTCACTTTTGTTCTTCGTAGAGGACATTTGTTTTTCAGGAATTTCTCTGAAACTATACGTACCACATTTTTAGTCATGGTGTATCCTAAAATATTTGTTTTTGTTTTTTCATATTTGGCCATGAAGATAAACAAAAATATGTATATAAAAAGTATATATATATATATATATATATAATGAATACAATATTGTTTTAACAAAACATTAATATTTAGATTAATAATCAGATATTAATATTTTATTTAGCCTTTTTCAATATTTTGGTTTTCCATTTTTATGAATAAAAATGTTACATTACTGATAGAAAAAAAGAAAGTTGGCAAAAAAAGCTGCAATGATATTATTAATATTATTTATGAAAATAAAGTACTTAAAATTCAAATTAATAAAATAGTAATATTGTAACAAAATATTAATATATAAATAAAAATAAAATATTAGAATTTGAACAAAATATTATTATTATTATATTATTTATTATTCAACATTTTGTTTTTTTATAAACATTTTGTTTTTATAAACTATAATTCCTGACAGGAAAAAAAAAATCCAGAAATGAATAAATTAATTAATTGATCAAATGAATAAAAATGGTCAAAATTATAATATTTAAATAAAAATATATTTTTATATTATTAAATATAATTATAAAATATATTTAAATAATATAACTTAATTTGAATAAATATTAATATAAAATGTTGTATTCTTTGAACAATTTGTTTTCCCATTTCTATGAACAAAAAATTTTACATTCCTGTCAGTTTTAAGAAAACATTAAGATTTTAATAAAATAGGAAAATAAATAATTTTCATTTTCATTATTTTTGTTTTCTATTTTTATACGAACAATGCAATGTTCCTTAAAAAGTATTCCCAATTAAGTGTTATATGCTTTGACAAAAATTATTTCACCTGCCATGTAGAGAACTGTTGCAAGTCTACTAGACTCCAAATCAGGTGAGACAGGTGCAAAAATGGGTCTCATTTTTTCTCACCCTGTACATCTGATGGGGGACCTCCTCACCATGGCAACCCAGAGACAGACTGGCATGAGGATCTCTCATGCAAGCATGCGCCCACATTCACCACGTATCAGCAGATGAATAACCCAGAGAACATCTCACACCGCCTGGTGCTTTCGTGATCAAATCTGCACATTTGCTAATGTTGCATAATGGCATTCAATCAGAGATCAGATACACAGCATGAAGGAGAAGTGAATGGCATGACTTTATGCCAGTTATTATAGATAGATATCTACACATCCTTGATAATTAGTTATCATTGCGCACCCTGTACCAGAGGATGGTTGATTATGACTATGTGGGTTGCTAAGTAACAGTTTTGAAATGAAGCTAATCAAAAGGGAGATGCCAAAAGGCCAAACGATTAAAGCAAAGTTATTTAGAGTGTGGGAGGTTGCGTAAATCCTTTTCGAGAGTATTAAGTGTTGCAGACCAAAAGATTGACTGTGGTTTGATAATATGCCAGGGCCAAGCAGAAAGGATGCATTTCACCATAATGCATTTAAAGCTCACACAAATGTGAAAATTATATTTTATAATGCATATTTAGACCTTATTGAGAACAATTAATCTGTGAATATGATTCATTCTTTTAAAATGTTTTGACTTCGTAATGAACTTAAAACTTCGAAACTTAAAAGTCTGTTGACTTAAGTAAGACTTAAAGGGGTCATATGATGTGATTTCAATTTTTCCTTTCTCT